ACTTTTTTTTTCACTTTGGGTCAGTAAAAATGATCAGACTCTTTGTTCTCTGGAGTTGCCTGTAGGGTTGTTTGTTTGTTTGTTTTGTATGCTCATAGCTGGTGGCTGTACTTGAAAGGGTATGTTTGTTTCTTCAGCTTTTGTGTGAAGTCAGCATCAGTCACATGAGAGCTTGATGAACATCATGAGGTTGTAGAGGTGCAAGATGGCCATCAACATCGGAGGAACTTTGGTCACTACTAACTTGGATTGCCAGCTCTCCTGAACAAGGAGTTAAAGAAACAGTTTCCTCATACCAGTGCTGTTCCTCCTTGCTACAAATGGGGTGGGAGGCTCCTGCACATGGACCACGTTTCTCTCCCAGTGCAGGCAAGGCACGCAGATGTGTCTCCCAAGCCTGGCAGCTGTCAGTGCTCATGAAGTAAATGGAGAGATGCCAAAAAGGCTCAGGGAAGCATGTGTTGAGCTGGTAGAATCCCTTCATGTGCAGTGAGTAATTGTAGTTTCCTCCCTGATCTCAGCTCTGTTGCCATCCTCATCCCTGTGGGCTTCAGATATCGAGCTGAGTGATACAGGGAGAAGAGGGCTTTTTGGGGAAGAGGGCCCACACCAACATGAATGTACCCCTCCCGAGCTGCCGTGCTTTTGGGTGGATCCCCATATGGCACCGTTTGCTATTTGACCCAGAGCTGTAACATTCTACACTGGCTGTAATCAGGGGGTTGGCTTGGTGATACCTGTTTCCTGACTGCGATGAGCAGCTCCTGCAACTGCAGAGCATGCCTGCAGCAGATGGGGTGGAGGAGGCAGCACAGCCCGGTGCGCTCCTGTGGGCCATGCTGCTGCTCCTGCTCTGAGACGTGGGGCAAGACTGAGCCAGGTCACCTCGGAGCTTGTAACAGCATCAACCAAGGTGACACAGTCTTCTCAGCTGACTACCAAGGTGTGGAGCTCCTCATCTTGCTCCTCCTGCATAGGCCAGGAGACAATTTTGTCCTAAGCCGTTAGTCCTGCAGGAGGAGGTCAGCAACACTTCCCTCCTCTTTCTGTGCAGAGAAGTAAGACCATTTTGATCTCTGAGAGATTGCTTGTAAGAGCAGTACAGCAAGCCTCACAGGCAGCTGAGGACTTGTGAGGCACTGCCAAGAGCCACGTGGGATGTGACGGGGCGATGCTGCACGCCTTCTGCTGCTGTTCTCTATAAAGCGCCCTGTGCTGTTGTTGGGCGTCACACCCAAGTACCCATAACAAGCCACATCTTTGCATCATGCTGGTAGTCACAAGCTGGTAATACCCAGCAGTCCACCAGCTGGAAAGCCCCATCTCTGTGCAGTGTTGCTTTTTACTACGCTGTAGCTCATAGATCTTCAGATGGCAATCCACCCTGTGAATCTGTGTTTTCTAATGCCACGAGTCTCTGCTCTTGCCAGTCTGCTAGTTCCATTGCTCCTGCCTCCAGTGAGTCAACAGCCATCTGTGCACACTGAAAATCAAATAACTTCTGGGTTAAGAGGGCTTTTTGTCATTTATAATGAATCCCTCTGCGTCACCCTATGTGGTACCTACTGACGTCCAAGATTAAATCAAGAGAAAAGAGTGCGATCTGAAGCCACCCACAGCAGCCTGGTATCACCTTTCCGTCTCAGCTGCACTTCGGCAGGCTAGCTGAAACAAGGCAGTTTTCTCTGTGCTTGGTGCCAAACACTATTCTTACTGAAGCAGAGGGAAGTTTTGTTTTTCCCTAAATAGGAATGATTTGGCCTTCGGTGGTGCTCAACTGGAAAGAATCCAATGCTTTTCTGATCTTGTCAGAATGGCTGAGATGATCATAAATCAGAAGGGCTGCTCCAGAAATATTTTCCCTGGGCTTGATTCTCCGTCCCACCATGCTGGTATAATGAAAAGAAAAATTGAGCCCACCAATGGTTTAATTTTGCAGATAACCACTCTGTTTCCAGGCAATCTTTGTGATTAATTTTTCTCACAGTCTGTCTTTTTTCAGTTTGTCTCATAGGGCCATTCAGGGTTGGTTTTTTTTTTTTTTTTTCCTTTCTTTCTTTCTTTTTTTTTTTTTTCCTCCTCTCCCCTTCCATATGGGGAAGAATAAAGTGAAGAAACAACATTTTCAGAGAAGAAAGACTTGGAAAGAGCTGTTGTTTTCTGGGAGTCTGCTACAGCTGTTAATTTGTGGAAAACCTCAGTGGAAAGTAAGCAATATGGCAGCATCACTTTACACGAGAATTTGGCAATGGCTTTGCTCCAAACTGTGGCTGATTTAGGTTCTTGGCTTGCACAGCCAAAGCTTCATGTAGTGTCATGCTTTTTTATAGATAATGTTGATGCAGCTGTGGACGGCTATGATGTTCTTTTTTTTCTTTTCTTTTTTTTTTTTTTTTTTTTTTTTTTTTAACGTGGAATTGTCGTCATTCAATCAAGCTTAAGTATCGTGGAGCTGTGATGTTGTTTGTCTTTGCTTGTTAGATGTTGGCGGGTGAGTCCAGGATGGGCTGAGATGTTGTTTGGGAAAGAAGAAAAGGCTCCCTCCCTTCCTCCTTGCCTTCTCCGCAGAAATACACACAGACCAAAACTTCCATCCAAAAAGGCAGGAACGCTGAGAAAAATTGGAGCTGGACTCGAATGCTGTGGGCTGGGTCCCCTCTGCCTCTCCAAAGCACGCACGCTCTCCTCTTCCTGTAGACTTTGTTCCTCTCCAGCATCTGTCATGCATAGTTGGTGGCATACCAAGATTTTGAATACTGTACCGAGTGCAATAACCTCTTTTTTCTTGGATGGACATTTTGTTTGCGGAGAATACAGCATGGTGCTCAGCTGTCTGGGCAGAAATGAACATTGAATGAAATGAAATTTTCTGCTATGTGACATCTATTAGATCCGAGATAAGTTTTCCAGTAGAAATGTCCAATTATTTAAACCTCTCTAGTAGATGAAAGAGCTTTTGACAATCTGTTTTGCTGAAAAGCCCTGCAATTCATTTGGCGTAGATCAGATGACCTATTAGAAATTAGAAAAGGGGAAAGGGTTTCTAATTAATGTCAGACCAGCTGTTAACTTGGGGAGTATCGCTAAGTGGTAGCAGCACAAGACAACTCCTTCAGCTATTTATGTGGTGACGATTCATGTGTGCATTGTAACGTGTGCCTGCAGCCTTCTGTGCGGCGTGTTGCACAAACACGTAGCTGTGCCTGGTTGTGGGGACCAGAAACTCGAGTTCCCCACAGCAGGTAACATATCAGCATCCCCTGAACATGCTGCTTCTCAGAAGCTCTGCCTCCTTTTATGAATGGGTAAGCCCCATGTTTTTCCAGTGCTGTCTTGTCACGTAATGACTGACTCACTCACCTCCTTATCTCTGGGCCATATGACTTACTTTGATTGTATCTTCCTTGCCAACTTGGCTAGATACCGTGTTTCTTTCCCTGAGGGTGACTTAGGGCAGAATCCTTGAATCCTTAAGAGTTTCCCGTAGCATCTGGAAAGAAGAGGAAAACCAGAGATGGGCCAGAAAGAGGCAGGCAGAGAAAGATGAAAGAATTTGGGGGCGAGAAGCGTTCACTTTTGGAATGAAGCTTCCTTCTAGTTGGCCTAAGGCGGAGCAATTTACACTTTCTGGCAACATGCGGGATGGCCCAGCCCCTGCTCCTAGGAGTAAACATTTCAAAGGTGCCTGCAGGGCCCCCTATTTATGCTTTTATAAGCTACTTAGCGACCTTTGAGTCTCAGGCTACATCCCCGTTGCCTGTAGCAGGGTTAGCTTTAAGTGTGGTGGTGTCTTGTGGAGATACCTGAGCCCAGCTGAGGAAGGTCTGCTGCTAGAAGTAGTTTACCCACAGCAGTGCATATGTCGCAGTGCTGGACCTGCCTGCTGCGATACCTTGTCCTGTGCCAACTCCTCTTTAAAGCATCTGTGCATCGAAGGCGTTCACTGCAACCCTGCCTCCTCTGCAGCCTCCCGCTGAGGCTCAAGGACATAAGTGCCAGTCACAGCAGAGCATGGTGTTTGGGAGCTGGAGCCACCTCAGTGCTTTGAAAGCTTTGTGTATGGCTGAACCCACATTCCCCGTTAGCCCTGCTAAATACTTTCCTGTTTTCCTCTCTCCCCTTGAACTCACACCGCAGTTTTAACCAAGTATCGTGTTTTGCTTTTAATGACAGAGCAAAGGTGCCAAAATATTTCAGTAGCTCCCCTAGGAACATCTGCAACTTCTTTAGCTAGTATTTTCACAGCTGGCCAGAACTTTGTTATTTTTGAATGCTAATGGTACCGAATCTGGGATCCTGAAGGAGAACAATGGCTAATTTCCTTGCATCGGAATTTAGAAGTTACAAAAATCTACACTAGCAGCTTTGAATAAATGCCCAGGTCAGAGCAAAAGGGGAGTTTGTCCTCTGAAAGACAAACTCGCTAAACTCCAGGCAGAGCTTAGACTGGCCCTCAGACATAGGACAAAATTGGTGTTTGGAGCCACCAGGATCAAAACTTACAGACAGTTCAGCTGGCAGAGCTACTGCTGCTGAGATTCATGCAGCCCGCGTGACAGGATCTCCATCTGATCACTGCCTCCAGTGTGGTTTCTGTCATCTTCGATGGAAATGGGAAGAGTAAAATCTTGCAGCTCTAACATGGGAATGCGCTCCTGGAACAGGAATTAGGTCTGGGATTTTGAACTTCCACCCAGCAAAATTTCCATGGACTTTTAATTGCAGCTGTGATTTATTACCTGCTGGCTGTGCTTAGTTGGTCTAAAAGTGAAAATCAGCCGAACGTGTTTAATCAGTGTATCGATCTGTCACTTGTACTCTCTGTGCTGCACCTCTTCACTCCCTACACTGATCTAGCAAAGTGTGATAATACATATAGATATATATATATATGCTGGAAGTGTTCCAGTTTTATTTAACCACTAGTAAATCTATTACAACCAAAGACGCTCTAGACTCGGCTCTTTACCCATTTTTTTTTATTTTTTTTTTTCCTACAGAGGCATTACCTTGGACTCCTGCTGGTGTGGAGCCCTTCCTCCTCTGCTCTCAGCAGTGCACGGGGGGGCACTGCTTGTGCACCCACAGCTGCACCCTGACCCCCAGTGAGTAGCAGACTGTACCCTGCTTCCCAAGGGGAGGCAGGCCTGCAGCCATGACCTGAACAAGTATGAGAGTGGCGCTTGCAGGCTGAGAAGCAGAGGAGCACGTCAGGCCGCACGTTTCCTCAGGATGTCTCATCTCAGCAGCGGTGTCTTCTGCTGACGATACAGGCGGGCTGCAAAGTGCCACCGCCTGTGTCTGTGTTCGGAGAAGTCCCCGTGATGGTCCACCTTCTGGGGCAGACAGAGCTGCCATGTGAAGGATATGGGCAGCGTAGGACAGTGTTACGTGCTGCTTCCTGGAGGCGGAAGATACTGCTTCCCGACGGCATCGCTTCCCAAACTCCGTATCTGCAGATGGCCCCGTGCCAGTGCTTCGGAGCACTGATTAGATCTGAATGTGAGACTTCCCACAATTCAGGGGAAACTGCGAGGTGGAGCAGGGCCTGGGGTTCCTGCTCAGGCTCGTTCCTGACATGCGCAGGTATCCCTAGCAAGCTGCTGCTGCTGGCTGAGGGACCCCTATCCCCTCGCCTGCACTGGGCCCACAAAATCGTAATTCCCTCAGATGCAGTAGGATTTCTTTCCGTGTACCTGTGAGTGGGAGGAGGATATGGCTTGTCACTTTTTTTTTTCCCACTCTCACGCCAATTTTGGTGCAATATAACGGGCCTGCCCTGTCAAACTCAGAGGGAGTTTTGCCATTAATTGCAACTCAAGCAGGGATATTGCTGAACGTGATAAAATCCAACAGAAATCTTTAAAACTCCCCAGATCACCGCCTTTGCTGCAGTTAATTTTCTGTCCATGACTTTTCGACAAAATCCTATACAGCTAAAACATGCAATTCAAGAAGCCTTACTGCCTTGACCTAAGCGCTAAGGCATTGCACAAGCTGCCTGCCAGATACCACAGCCCCCGCCGTTACCGACAGGTAATTAGGTCACCACTTGTGAACTTTTGACACGCACAGACTTACGGCCTGATAACGTGGATGCCCTCGAGCAAGTCAGGGCAATCGGCTTATCGTCATGAATCTAAGGAGCATTGAACTCTAAACAGTCATTTAGAGTAAGATGGCTTCAGTCCCCGGTGCTTTAATCCTACCCGAAGGCACACGACTTGTCTGGGGGATGTCTTGCTGGAGATGCCTGAGGGAACCGAGGGAGCAGCTGTGCTGTTGCAGGATCATGCATGGGCGCTTGCTTGGGTCTGCATGGACACGTCTGCAGAGCCTGTTTTGCACGGGCTTTAGCACATCAGGAGACATATCTCTGTGCCACAACGAGCCCTCAGAGGCAAGGCAGGACCGTGACAGAAGATGGTGGCTAAGGACCAAGCCTGGCGGAGCTGTGGTTCCAGGTGTGCGCGAGAGCTTCTGTGGGAGGTGTCCTAAAAATGTCTGCTGTCATCTTTCGTAAGTGGAAAATGCCGGAGATGATCAGCTCACCTCCCTCTCACCTTGCTTTATTTGTGTATTCTGCATATTTTTTTCCTCGTCCTGCATCTCGGGGCACTTTCCCATCGGCTCATGCTGTTATGTCACTCTCCAGTGGGTGAACTCAGTCCGACCAGGAAACACTGAAGGAAAATGAGATGCAGATGTGCTAACTGCATTCATATTCCCCTTCACTGCAGTTGCTGCTGGAGAGCTTGGACTGCTGCTTTGACTTTGTTCCTCCGCGGAGCGCGCTCGCATTAAAATGTCAATCTTATCTGCGTTTCAGTTCAGCGTGCCTGCCCCTGCGGAACAGATTGTTCAATGCACTTACATCCTCCCCAGTCGCCCTCCAAGGGGATGACTCAGTCTGTAACACAGCACATCTGCTTGGGACTACAGAGGACACTGGAACCTAGCAGGGGCTTGGATCTGCCGCTCAGTTATGTCATGTCTGAGCATCGCCTGTTTGTGCGTTTTCAGAAAACCCAGATAAAAGAATATGAAAGGAGAAGAGTAAAAAAAAAAAAAAAAGGTTTTCTCCATAAATTAATAGTGACCTCAAAGCTCCCATGCTGGAAAAATTGCTATGTGATGCAATGCCAGTAAAATAGAAGCAACTGCCACTTCACAGAAAAAGCAGTTATATTTCTGATTAATTGCTGTGTTTTTTGAGGTTTCAGTAAAAATGGCTGCTGATTATTTCTGAAACTTATGATGACTGTCTTAGTGCATAACCCCTTCTTAACATCAATTTGGCAAACAGAAAAGGAAATATATCATACGATATTCCGCTTGTAGGGCCAAGTTCTGTCATCTATCTGCTCGCAAAGCCTCTGTTGACTGCCTTGGGATTTCTCCTTGCAGAATGATGGCAGGACATGATCCAGACCCAATATAAATGTAACATATGAACCAGTATATCTTCAGATGGAGAAAACGTGTGTGGAATTTCCCTGTGCTATCTTGTGCATGCTTTATAGGGCAACTACATCCACAGTTATTGAAAAGAAGCACAGACGTCTGTGGTTAGACATCAATGACTTGTGGGAGGGAAAAGAGGGAAACTGGAAGACTTAGAATTTGTGCTTGATTGGTTTACTGAGAAATACAAGGCGAGAGAAATGAAAACAGTTCAGAATAGCACTGTAAAGAGGGGAAATTGGCATTGCTGGCAACACTGATGAAATGTAATGTCCTTGCCAGGAGAGTATAAATTATGGGTTTCCTGATAGAAAATGTTGATGAGGCCAGTAGGGGGGAGAGTCTGAGGAAAATGTATGCCTGTGGAAACTGATTTTTATTTTGGTGATGACTGAAAATAGCCATGAAGCCTGGAACTTGTAAACCTGGGAATCCTGAAATTAATAACTTTTAAGAGTTAACTGTTGGAGAGTGCCATCCCCACGAGGACCGTTATTTGCTTTTCAGGTTTTGCATATCCTTGCCTATTTTAAGTGCTCAGACTCACTGCTGCCCATATAGCATCCTGTGAAGCAGTGGTTATCCAAGATAGCAGCCTTCATTTAAACAGCAATCGAGGTGGCTGCAGGAAGTGCTGGTGGTGACGGGGTGTTTGCTTAGTGGCTCTGCTTTGGGTAGGTTTTATGTTGCACACATCTCTGCACCACCTGATTTACGCCTGCCTTAGGTGTGCTGTGTGCCACCTCCATCTGTCCTGTGCTGTTTTTTTCTAGTGCTCTCTTTGCAGGAAGAAATGTATACAATATAGTACTGTGCTTCTGTAGAGTTTCTTGCTTAAATCTATATCATGGGACACATTGAAGCTCTGGAGGTCTCCTGTCCAAACCCCTGCTCAAAGCAAGTCTAGCTTTACAGTGAGACCACACTTTCCAGGGCCTTGCTCAGGCACACTCTGAGTATCTCCAAAGATGGAGATTTCAAAGTTTCCCTGGGCTGTAGGCTTGCTTCATCAAGCAGGATGATCCTTCTTTATAACATTCAGTGCTTGGTGCTGATCCAGATTTGAGGCCTTTACAACAGAGGATGCTATTTATCGCCTTTGGGGCAGGCTTTGGCTGCTTGAGTAGAAGCAGATGAAGGAAGGTTTTCTTGGCCTGACAGCAAACCTCAGTGTCAGCCCCAAGAAACTTGATCTAAAGAGTTTTCCACAAAGGCGAGCCTCGGGCTACCTGGCAGAAAGAAAGAGGCTCCTGCGGGGAATGGTTCAGAGCACCTCTGTGAAGCTCCTCCTTTGAAATGCCCTCCAGAAGCACTTGTCTATCCTCAGCGATAACAGAAGAGGCACAGGAAGATCAGCTTCCCCTCTGCTTCCTCTGTGCACGAACCAGCGAGCCACCCACCACTAAGCCTGAAATTTGCTCCCTTTTTCTCTTCATCTGGACGGAAAGCTATGGAGATCTGGCAGGGCAAGGGGGAGAAAGGTGCTGTTTAAGAGCAACATTTCAACAGCTTGGCTTTGTATACAATAACAATGCTGCTGAGTCACCAGCCCTTCAGCTCCTCATCCTGTGTACGGGTTGTGACCGTCCTTCAGCGGACTCTGGAATTTGTTGAGAAGGAGCAGTATTTGCAAACAGCCACTGCTTTTCATTGCCTGGGAGCTGAAAAGTCTCTGTTTTACAAGGTACCCCCCCAGCAAAATTGCAAACCAAACCTGCTGCAGTTGCACTTGGTGGCTCTTCTCTTCAAACGCAGTCCTGCTGATGGCGAGATCTGTGCTTAGTGTTCCTGGCAGACAGGGCAGGGCCCCCTGTCTACTCGTTTCGGAGGAAAAAATAATTTGTGATGGCAAGATGGTCGTTTGCTCTATGGCGGGATTTGATGCTGTAGTGAAATACCACAAGGTGCTGTCCTGGTGAGTCCCTTTCCGACTGCTAGGGCAGCAGTGTCCCCTCGGCACGGTGCTCCCCTTCCACGGCACTTCTGGCCTGGCTTCCCGAGAGAAGGAGGCCTGTGGGGTCTTGTTCTGCATGAGTGTTGGAGAAAGTCCCTGACAAAGATCTTTCAGCTGTTGGCAGCTCTCAATCAAATTTGTTAGCAGGGTGGAGATCTCGGCAACTTTATGTTCTTACAAGTTTAGTGAAAATAAACAGCCAGGTAAAGAGGAGACAAGGCCTCGTTGATAATTCCTGCTGTGGGAAAGGCAGGAGCTGCTATCTCGCTACGCATCTGGATGGGAGACACAAAGCTCCAGGGTTTTCCCTGGCTGTGGAGCTATTTGTTTATTTCCCCAGTCCAAGTCAAGGCAAAGCACTGTGCAGTGAGACGAGGAGCTCAGGGGGCTGGTTTCACATCTGCCTTAAAGATGGCTGTGCTGTAAATGCTGTGCTCGGTTCGCAGGCTGCCTTCTCGCTAGGCCCCTTTGGATTTCTTCACTGTCCTCTGCGGAAAGGGCCTGTTCTTGAAGTGTGTGCATATCTCCCTTCTGGCTTCTGGCAAACAAGTTTTCTTCTTCTTTTTTTTTTTTTTTTTTTTTTTAAACAGAGCACAAATGATTACCCAGAGTCAACTGTCTCTGGCCTCCTGTCTGCAGAATCTCTTTTATGAAGTAAATGTTTATGCTTTCAGACTCCCTCTAGGCCTGTATAATCATTCAGCACATGGCTGCAGGATAAATCTGTTCTTGCAGTTAGCAAAGGAGTAAATGCATTCTCCAAAATCCTCAACGAAACCACGAGAATTGGAGGGACACCAAACCAAAACATTCTTTTCATTTAGGCTGTTAGAGCTGCTGGGAAACTGGATACTTTGCAGAGGAATTGGCTTTTTTTTTTTTTTTTTTTTTTTTTTTTCCCCTTCACTGCTTTTTTTTTTTTTTTTCCTTGAAGTCTGTAGCAATGGAATGAGTGAATTATTTCCTGGGGCAGCTGCTGTGTAACATCCAATACTTTATTCTTTGAGCTTGCAAAAATAAATGCGTCAAGAGGAAGAAAGTGGCAAGCTGCTTGGGGTTCCAGAGGAGCAGGCAGCTCTGGAGATTTCACCTTTGTTTTTGTGGCATGTGCTAGGTATGTCCCTCATCTCTTTCAGCTTCTGCAGGCGCCACCTGCCCCTTGTTCTTCTTCAAGAAATAGATGAAGTAAATCCGAGACACGAGGCCTCCAGGGAGTGCCTGGGGAAGGAGCAAAATAGCGGGCAGTAGGAAGAGAGAGACCCTCGTACCTCTTCAAGGGATGGAGATGGAAGATTGAAAAAAGCCTCACGTGTCTGAGCAGCTGGTGCAGGCTGCCAGCCATTGTGCCTTACTGGTGACACATGCCTCCATCAGCAGACGTCCCCGCATGAGTTAAAGGAACAAAAAAAAAAAGTGTGCTACAAGTGCCTGAGCCCAGTCCCTCCCGGTGCTGGCTGTGGGGCCAGCTGGCAGGCCTTCCCCCCCAAACTGTGCTTACGCTGCAGAGGCACCCGGCTATTTTCTGAAGGGTTAAATTTGCTGTGGGTCTCCCCTGGAGAGCTTCCTCTGCAGATGGAGGAAGGCTTTGATCTCTGCTTCCCAGGACCCCCTTCCTGCCCTGCTTTCCTTCATCGTTAGTTTTACTGCCCTGCTTCACTGCTCCGGGGGGCTGCCTGGGACCAGCAGGGTCCCACGCCGCGGTGCAGCCTGCCCTGTGCCTCCGGGAGCGGCATGCAGCCTCCTCCACCTCCTCTGCTCCCTCCTCGCAGGCTGAGGCAAGGCTGTGCAGCTCCTGGAAACCCCCATGGCCGTGCTGAGTCACGCTGTGCAAGGACATAGCTGGTCCTCTGTCTATCTAGCTGGTCTGGATCAATGCTATCATAGCAGCAAGAAGCCGTGTGCTGCAGCTGTTGCACTTCAAAGGAGTACTTACGGACCACGTTTCTCTGCTCCTTGAAATATCAGAGGGGTCTTCACTATTTCATACATTTAATGCAAATAAATAAATAAATAAATGATTCTCTCCTTCTTCGTCTCAGAGGTAGGTGTGGCACAACACAAGCTTGGGGCTATCTTTCGGGGTTTGAGGAGGAAAGCATATATCAGTGGGTGTCTGTCATCTGTCCTGTGCCTTTATAAAGTCCCCAATATACCCTGATTGGGACCTTTTTGGGGTATAAAGATGAGTTGTACCAACGCATTGCCATGTAAACCCAATCCAGAGGCCCCAGCAGTGTGTGGGGCAGCAGGGCATGAACTGCACGGTGATTTCCATAGTGTGTGGTGTAAGACACCCCCTTCCCCCCTTTATTTTTCAGCTTCTCTCTTCCCACCTGTGAAATAAAACATCTTTTTGTCTTTGGAAAAGGCTTTATATACACTGAGGAGTGGTGCTTTCTTCACTTGTGTTTCTGTACCTGAATAAGTTCTGGGTTTGCAGGTGTCAAGTGGTATTTTGTATTGTCTGTGGAGGCTGGGAAGAGAGAGAAGGATATAATTTGGGGAACAGGTGACCTGTGTCTGGCCTTCTAAGATCCTTTCTCAGAGCACATTAACAAAATGCACAGACAGAAACTTCCTGGCCAGTATATTTGCTTCCTTATAGCAATATATTAAGTGAAGTGCTTTGGAGAAGGAAAATACAGAAATGAAAGAAAGAAAAAAAAAAGATGAAATCAATAAATTAGTATCATATTAATAAGTAATCACTTCATCCGCTGAATGAAGGTTTAGACAAACATTCGACAGGAAAGGAGGGTGCCTGGGAAGGAAAGCAGTGCTGGAATTAAGTGTAACCAGATGAGAAGTGCCATTATCTTTCCGAACAACGTGCACACATCTCCAGCGATAGTCCAAAATGTTGTCACTTACCGTAACACTAGCATAGTTGTTGGGGACACTGCTTTGGCAAGCTGTAGGCTTCTTTATTTATGAAAGGGCAATTTATTATGTTATGGGAAGGGTATGCAATGAGACGTGCACATTTCTTAAATTAAGAAAGTCCTTTTTTTAGTCCTGAAGTGGGTGGAACTCAAAAAGACAGACATGGAAAATCTCTGCTTATGTGCAACATCCTGACAAGCCATGCAGAGGACACTAAATGTCGAGGTGCCTCACCCCAGACCTGGCACTGCTTTGCTGGGTGACCTTGGGTAAGTCACTTGCTGTCACTGTCCTTTTGTCTCCTCCATAAGTGGGATAAACTATGCTGGAGCAGATGTTAGTGTGCTAAACGCAGGACCCAGAAGTCACTGTTACAAGGAAAATACCATGATATTACAAGGAGGTGACCTTCTCCAGCAGTTCAGTGATGGTCCTTGAAGTGACAAGGAGGAGAAATAATAAAAAGGGCAAGGTTGGGAGTGGAAGACCAAAGCCCTACCGAGATCACTGTCATCATATTGGCACGGGCAGCTGTCCCATGGGGCTGGCTTGGGGGTTAAGTCCGCTGGGTCAGCATCCTGGGCTGGTGGGCTTCCTATCTGTGGCCTGAGCCTCTCCGTGCTATCCAGCTGTCCTCCACAGACACTGCTGCTGCTCCTGAGCACAGCACTGCCCCAGATGTACCGGCTGGTGAGAGTCTCGTCCTAAATCAATCTTCAAAACAAAGCTAGTATGCCAGAGACCCCAGCGCATTAGCTGAAAGTAATAGTTTTCAAATGCTTCCATAAAATGTCACAGCTGGAGCTTGAAAAGGCATTTTATGGCTTGGTGTGTCGCTTTACAAGCAAAGAGCAGGAATGAATGTACGCCGTGTATGGATGTGCTTGTAAGAGCGGGGAAATCTGGGTGTGTGAATCGTGATCCTGTGTGGAAGTGCGTGAAGCAAACCGAGCGTGTCCTTGGGAATTAGAGTAAAAATAACCCATGACCTTTCTCTAATGAGCTGTGTGAAAGGTTGGTAGTGATGGCCAACACACTGCGCTTGTCATAACAGCATCTCGCAGCCTGTTTCACAGCGGGACTCACAGCAGGAGCTCCCTCGTCCTGATTTCTCCATCCATTTCCAGAATAGCACTCGTTCTGTGCTGAGTCCTTTTACTGCACCCATCATCACGGCTGCAAATTGCTTTCTGCGATATCTGAGTGCTCGTGGCATCCCCAGGCTCGTTGTCTCCCCGTGTATAACATGTCCCATCTGATATCCTTGTCTTCTCTTGCCTTTCACACAATTAACCCGGGACTTACAGTCCCAGGGCCATGCATAAAGATGTGTGTGCCACCACGAGCTTCAGTGTGCAGCAGTGTGCTGAGCATCGCCAGGGGGCTGGAGGCTGGAGGGTTACAAAACGCTGTGTGGCCATCCAGTAAGTCCCAACAGCGAGCAGTGCTGCACAGCGTCTTTCTCAGAGGCAGCTGCGTTCTCCTGGAGTGTCTAATACAGGGTAGTGATGAGCATCTGACCCACTTCCACATGTCAGGCAAATCACCTCCAATATTTCAGGCCAGTGTGAGTGAAGAAAATCTGCGCAGTCCTTATGAGGCCACTGTGCTGGCACACCATCACTAATAACAGACTTTTTACCTGAAATGCCAGTGCCTACTTGGTTTTCATTCCTGGTAATCATGTTTTTCTCCCCTCCACTCTCCGCAGAGGTGGTATTTCATAACTGCGAGAGCTGCAATAACTATGAGGCCTCTGGCTTTAAAGGAAATGTTTTGTGTAGCGGGGAAATGCCCTCCAGTTCCACAGAGAGCATGTATACCCATGTGAGAAGCAAAACAAGCACTCATTAAAGCTTTCTGCAGAAATTTGGGAAGTGGGCTTCTCTTTTTGTGTGTGTTTCTTTTCAAAGACTGATGAGGCTTAGCACAGAGAGGAATGGCCCGAGCAAGGGGCTTTTGTAGTTTGCTCAATGTGCCTGTGGGAGAGCGTGTGAGAAGAGGAAGGAAGAGCTCTCCTTCAGCTGCTGCAGAGCATGGGCTCTGCTCAAGCCCTCGGAGGTAGCCCCTGTGCTTGTGGCCGGAGGAGAGAAGGATGGCCACTTCAGCATCTCCAGCGACGGCAGTTCTGCTGACGGTATTGCTAATCAGCTGTTTTTCAGCAACCTTAGCAAGTCAGCCTGTCAGAGGAGAGACATTTCTTCTGCTACGTAAGGGGCTGTGGTCTGCTCTCACGCCGCTCGGTTGTGCTGCTGAATGCTTATTAGGTATATTTGCACTGACAGTGCTAAATCTCTCCAGTTTGGGGGCAGCTTCATCTTCTGTCAGGCACTATTGGGTGATTCAGAGGATCCGTGCTGCCCCATGCAAGCTGTATATTGATCCAGGCCTGTGTTGCTTCCCCAGCTTTCCCTGCCACCCAAAACCCAAATCTTGTCTCTGCTGGTTGGGCTGCAGCACATGGTGTCAAGCACGAGGATATATCTGATAAAGCAGAGCTTATTAGGAAATCAAAGCAAAGCCATGCAGCAAATGTAGCCTGCCCTAGGTTTTCTGAAACCAAGTCCTGTCTTTGGTGTGGGAGCCTGCCTGATGCCTTCAGAAGGGTTTCAGACATCAGGTGCCCTGGCTGGTGCCCAGTTTGGTCCGTGGTGCCACCGGGACCCACCTCCTGCTGCCAGCTTTGAGCTCCCCCCACGAGCTGGCCGTGTTCAGCCAACACGGCCGAGTTGTTCCTGCTCAGCTGAATCACAGCGTTTCGGCCTGCGAGCCGGGGCCATGTCTAGACAGTCAATTACTCTCTGCTCTCCTGTCTCTTAAGAAACTTTCAGTGCAAATGTCTTCTTTGACCTTGCATGTATAATTATTTATCTTCCCTATAAATAATGGATTTCTCAGTTGCTGCCTGGTGCTGATTCATTAATATTTTGTTACTTCCTTGAGTTCAAACACACTTGCAGTCTTTCCAATCTCCTCTCGTACTAAAGCCTTATTCCTTTGCATTCTTGCTAGCTCTTTTCCCGCAGCTGATACTCCCAAATTTGCTGTAATCCCACTCACTTTACCTGTAGATGCTCTGCTGACAATACCTGGGCTATCACGCCACCCCAGTTTAGTTCATGAAGAACAGGATGATTTGCAGTTTCCCCCACTCAGCTCTGCAGACTCAGACAATCTCCTTTTCGTATTTGCCACCATCATACCAAGGCTGTTTTACGTAAGGGAAAACACTGCGTAGGGCTGCAGGGTGAGAGCAAACCCCGGGGATGAGCACACGTGTATGTCTGGGGGCAGGAGCGGCGTCCCACGGAGCTCAGCACAGCTCTGTAAAGGCCCCCTCAGGCGCTCCTCTAATTGAGATGCTTAGTCTGGGTAATTAGTAAGGGTGCTAATCGTCCGTTTTTAAGATCTCATCTTTCTCACATCACAAATTGGTTGGTGCAGAGAGGAAAACGCAGAGGAACCGTAGGCCCGTCTCTGCAGAGAGCTCGCCGAGGAGATGGTGTTTGAGAAGTGCGGTAAATTCACCGTAACCTGCCCAATGCTTGGCCATGGGCCGTCCATCCCCACCTGGCCGGGGGGAGCAGAGTGCCAGCGCCGCAGCTCTGTTTGAGGAAGCCAATACGGGGATGAAGAGGCGGAGGCAGAGATCTCACGGCCCCACACGCCGCACAGCTTCGCGGTGCCCCGCGTGCGATGCACCCCGGTGCCCGCAGCTGTTCACACCTGCTCACACCCTCCTCGCACCGCAGAAAGCAGGAAATTGGCTCCTGGTGGCTGTTTGCACTGCTGCCAGGGTGTTTTCCCGTTGATGGAGTATTGCAAAACTGCACAGCACCACGCTGCTCCCCTGGGATTTAAAAGAAGCTGCGTGCTTTTTCTTGGCTCCGCTAGGACCAGCAGGAGAGCAGTACGTAGAGCATCAGGGATGCCTGCCCTGCGATGCCAATGAGTTGAGGGAAATCCTGAGCTACTCCTCCTGGCAGGTTTTCCAGCAGCAGGCAGCCCTCCCTGCCCTGCCCCACAGCCTTGTCCCACACGCAGCCTGCCTCTGCTGTTGGCAGCCGCCTGGCCCGGCAGCTCACACCGTGGTGGGGGACAGGGAGCAATGAATGAGCTGCTCACGTGCACCGAGCCCTTAACCGTAAGTGCCAAGACAATGTTTTTTCAGGCTTTAAATTCATATACCTGCTACATTTTTGTCATTCTCCTTGACCACCCACCACACACACACACTAAAGCCCGTTCCCCTGCAAGCCCTGCCAATCCTTTTCTGTGCAGTGAGGGAAAGGCAGGACAGAGGTGCAAGGGGATGCAGCACCCTGCCAGTGCACAGACCATGGGTTCGATGTGGGACGTGAGAGCGGGACTGTACGTGCACCCCACTGCCATCTGGGCAGCCTGCTGCCTTGGGAAATCATCTTCATCTGGTGTCTGCAGCTGGCTGGCTGAAATGCTGATGTTTGCATTGTTTACAGGAGGCCCCGGTCACAGATTTCAATTTCCTCAGATTTAGGGTATTTTGGATCTGTGGTTTGGCCTCTTGTTCAGAGTCAGGGACTGGTTGTTTTAAGTGGAGAGAGGAGTTTACACGATAAATCCCATTTACACAGTGGTGGGAAGTAGCTGGATTCATCCAGTGCGTTTGCATAGCTGAGAACACAACACGCCTAGATTTCAAGAGCAGTTCATTCCATGAGCTACGGAATTTAAAGAGCACAATTTCCTACAGATGTGTCCCTTATTTGCTACAACCCCACTGAATCGAGCCCAGTTCCTCCACAATATTCCCTAAGGCTTCCTCCACCACTTGGTATTTTCATCTCCTTTCCCAGTCCCCACCTCCACCTGACTTCCAGTCAGACTAAGCCTTCTAGATGAATCCAAACTGTATTTTTTTTACAATTTTTGCAAATGGAGCGACAAGCAGTGGGTGCAGTAGTCTAACATGAGCTCCAGGTCAGGGGGAGAAGGAGGAAGGATGGGGGAGTCCACCCCTTCTGGAGCCGGTGCAGGGGTGATGTGCAAGCAGCAAAAATTCCCTCCCCAGAGCATCTGGGGAGGCCAGAGCACTGTAAATAAGCTCTGCATCCTGTGAGCGTCTTGGGCCCTTGCAGTGCCAGGAGACATCAGCCCTACCCTGTTAACGCCTGAGTTTGCTCCAGAGCAGATTTCATCAGTGCCACTGGATACGTCTTTCCTCTTTCAACAGGAGACACCCAAGTTAACCTAAACCCCCACAACTTCCATTAAGCAATGCTATCATATTAAAAGAAAACAAACTAATGGAAAAAAAGCCAAGTTCTGGCAGTTTGCATCATGATATGAAGACAGATTTCCAGGCAGTTATGTGCACAGGGTCTGCAGATCATTTCGGTGTGCAAGCCAATGCTGTCAAAGTGGGAGGTAACAGTGTCAAAGCTATTGATGATGGGAGCTGTGCTCACACAAAGGAGCAAATCCTTCCTGGTGCAGGTCCAGGTGCCACAGAAATGTTCCCCGCCTGTATCTCCTTCCCTCTACTTTGGACCAACTTGTTTTTTCCTTTCTGCTCCTACAAACCACAGTGGGCTCATCCAAAAACCTGTCATCCGCTTTAACAAACGGGTGAAATAAACTTCCCAGCATCATCCTCGGCAACCTGCCACCGAGAAACTGCTGCAAGATATGACAAGACAAACACCGCCTTTAAATGCTACGTGAAGAGGAAATGAATGACGCCCACTTGGAAGAGGTGGCATCGGGGCCCTGTGGAGCTGATCTGCAGGTGTGCCCTGACCAAGGCTGGATGAGGTGCCACCATGATGTAAGG